ATTGTGCCAGTTCCCACTCCTACCAGCTATGTATGTAGGTTCCTGTTTCCCCCAACTTGTTGAAAACTTGGAGTCTTCTAACTTTTTAACTTTTGCCAATTGAATGAGTATTAAATGGCGTATTATTGTTGCTTTAATTTTTATGTCTCTTATTACTGGTGAGGTTGAGAATCTCTCGGTCTAACTGTAGTCCTTCAGGTTTCTCCTTTTGTTCATTTCTTATTCATATCCTTCATCCATTTTCCTATTTTTTTCTCTCATTGTTAGAAGTTTCTTTTATAATCTAAGTATTAATCTCATTTATTTTAAACTTTGAAAATATTTTCCCTGGTATGGTACACATCTGTTAACACTGTCGATTGTGCCTGTGTTGAACAAAAATCTTTAATGCTATTTAGTCAGATCAACAATTTTTGCCTTATAGTCTGTGCTTTTAGAGTCTTATTTAAAAAATCCTTTTTCATCCTAAGGTCATATTTTCTCTTGCTAGCTTTAAAGTTTTACTTTTAAGATTTAGGTCTTTAAGCCATCTGGAATTTAAGGTCTATATGACGTGAAGTAGACATCTAAATTTTTATTTCTTAATATAGTGAGGCAGATTTCCACAAACCATCCCTTAAATAGTTTACCTATTCTTTACCTCTATCATGTATCATTTCCTTACATATATGCTGTATTTCTGGTCATTTTTTTTTTCTATTCTGTGTTTTATTTATCTGCTGCTATGCTGGCATATACTATTCTCTGATAATCAAAAGATAATTGCCCTCTTTGCCCTGTGTGTATAAAATTGACTTAACTAATTGTGAATCTTAATTCTTCATGTGCATTTTTGAATTGGTTTGTCAAGTTTCTCAAAAGCTTCTGCATGAGTTTTATTGCAACATATTGAATATATAAAGTTAGAGAAGAACTGACAAATTGATAATGTTAAGTAATTTCATTTATCATACCTTTTTCTGTCTTGACAGAATTTGAAACATTCATCCATAAAAGTTTGTACATTCCATTATGCCTCTTTCTAGAAACTTTAGAGATTCTTGATATTATACATAGCATCACATTTTAAAATTGTCATTTCTTATTAGTTATTGATAGTGTAAATTGAATTATTGATACTGTAATTGAATCCGGCAGCCTTGCTAAAGTCAATGTATATCTGATTCCTTTTATTTGATGGTACACTACAGCCAGATACACACCTGCTCTTTGTATTTCCCACCACTGCATTGCTTTAAACCTTTCCCATCCTGACTGACCTCATAATATAACTGCTATCATTTTTTAACATTTACTACACCAGATACTACTATAACCACTTCACGTGCATTGTCTTACCTGAATCTCACAGCAATGAATTTGACTTAATTGTTATCCTTACTTTACAAATTAAAAAAGGGGATGCTTTAAAGTAAATTGTCACAAAGTCACACAGGTAGTAAGAGACTGAGAAAAGACCAGGTATCTTCTATGCTAAAGCTTTGGCCAGGACTTCCACACGGGTGGCACTCAAAGTGTGGGCCTCACCAGGGGCTAGGTAAAAATCTATATTATTTATGTATACACAAGCTTTCAATAAAAAAAGAAAAATGTGACTGTTTCAATAAAAAAGTGACAGTTTTAATATTTTTACTTATGCTGTTTGTTCTAATTATGTTTATTTAATGCTAATGTAACAGCCACCAGAAGTATATAATAAACATAAAATAAATGCATTTATATTAATTATAGAAATTTCGAAATGGTCTCTAGTTATAAATATGAAATTGGGGCTGGTATCTTGCAGGTCTGTGTTTTATTTATTTTTTGATAATAATTTTTATTGTATTTTATGAAAGTAGTGGTGGGTGACATTTTGGAAATCTAAAAAAAAAATAAAGATTCTTTACCAGTGGTAATTGAGAAGCACAGATCTAGACTACATGTCCTTTCTTTATAAAGGTATCTCTTGCTGACTTAGGTGCCTGAAGATCTGAAGATGCAAACAGATGAAAAAAGAGTTATGAATCAGCATATTAGGGTGCCCAACTGTCTCAATCATTTTAAGTGGGTGATTTGGTAAGAGGCATCTGAGCAAAGCCATTTCTTGCCAGGAAAAAAAAAAAAAAGCCTCAGAATGGTTTCTTGCAATGTCCCCACCCAGATCTCTCATCTACTTTATATCTCAATGGCCCAGAGGCCTAAAGGGGAAGAATCTACTGCTGGCTCTGGAAGTACCAAACAATACCTGAACTCTGAGCTAAGGAAAAGTCGCTACCAATCTTTAAATTCAACTCTCTCTCATTGGGAAAAAGAAATGACTGAACTTGAGCATGACAGTATCTGGAGGTTAATTATGAGGTTGTTGGCAATGTTAATGAAACTCTCTGATTTAGATGCTAAAGTATGGTATTTGTACATAGACTGAAGTATTTGAGCCATCAGCACAGCTGATTTGTATAGTAATACTGAGATATATCATCAAATCTGAGGAGAAATGTGATATTTGTAGGAAATTACAGAATATTAAAACAAATTTAAGATCAAATCCCATATCTAAGTAGAAGTATAGGATAGTGGTCTGACAGATCATGTGATGTTGTGATAGAGCAATCCAATGAATACACAACTTAAAAAAATAATTATCTGGCTACGTTTTTGAGTATGTAATGTTACCAAGTTTCAAACACAATTATTAGTAGAGCTAGCAGCTAGCTAGCTTTTAAATTTTGATTTTAACCTTCTTGTATGTCACTTGTACAAAGATATTTATAGTGGCCCTATATAGCTCATGGGAAAAAAAATGGGAAAAATCCAAATATTTAACTGTAGGAGAATATGTAGCAAGACAGCTTTATAAATGTAATGACATACTGCAAAATCTTTTATAATAAGGAAGCAGAATATATCAATATATAACAATGGCTCTATAAAGAATATTGAGTATAAATCACAAAATTTAAAAAATAGAATACATGTAAACAAATTACAGCTACATAAAAATATGTTCATGTGTTCAGAAAAATAATTAGAATGTAGTCGGGTAGAAATTATTGGGTATTTTTTTAATCTATAAAGGTATGATAAAAAAATTGAAAAGCACACGTTTATATTGCAATTTTGAGAAAATCATACCAATGCATAGGCAGCTTATGTAAATTTAGAAACTTTCAGAACTCTCAGATAGTGGTAATAGGTAGCACAGAAAAATGAAAGAAAGTGGGTGTTCTAAAGGGCCCTCTAGAGCAGGGCTCAGCAAACCATGGCCTGGGAAAATTCTGCCTGTTGCCTGCTTTCGTAAATAAAGGCTTTTTAGAATATAGGCACACCCATTTGTTGACGCACTCTCTGTGACTGCTTTCAAGGTACAAGGGCAAAGTTGAGTACTTGCAGCAGAGACCATTTGGCCTGCAAAACCTAAAATATTTACTGTGTGGCTCATTACAGAAAAAGTGCCAATTTCCAATCTAAATTATGACTTGAGAAGAGATAAATTAGAATCTATTCTCATTTGTGGGATTTCCATTTCAATAACATATATGGGGGAAGACCCACACTCCTTCAAATTATGTCAGTCTAAGCCTGCAAACAAGTACAACTGATGGATTATAGGCTCAAGAGGTTTTGGGAAACAACCGTGTCACTGTTTTCAGAGTTAAGAAATTTCAGAGCACAGGTTTTTATTTCTAAGCAAAACAGTTATCCATAAGGATATCAGAGCTATGTGACTTGAACGTGGAGTAGAAGTGAACACAGACTGGGTCACCTAGGTCCCTCAAGGCTTCCTTTGGACCTCTCTTTTTTGCAAGGATATTATGTAGGAGGCTGTTTGTCCCTGCATAGTACCATACAGTGCTTTTACAGCAGCATCGGAAAAAAAAAAAAAAAAAAAAAAAAGATTGATCCATGAGTTTCCTGAAGGTGTCAGAGCAAGAATGAATCCTGGGGGAAACTAAGAAGCAATCAGCAGGGAGAAGTGCGTGTTTCACTTCTGGTGGCTATGGAATGCCCCTGCCCATACTCACAGGCTTTCTGTTTCTTCTGTTGTTTCACCCAAGTTCTCTGCACCTTCTCCCTTCATTCCCCATGGAAAGGTTATTTTCTGTCTGTAGCTGCAGGCAAGTGGATTATTCCCAAATGGATTTATATTTTGTATTTTGGAATAGCCCAGGAGAAGCTTCATACTTGACTTTGTCCTACAATTTTAAAAAAAGTATCAGCCTGCTTCCAGAAAACAATTAACTCAGTTTTCAGGCTGCCTCTTTGGATACAATTTTAATCTTTTCTGGGAGAAACAAAATTTATCAGTTCGATACCTGGAGAAGAAAATTAGTAGTTTTCAGTAGTTTCTGGACTGAGATGAAAGGTACTTTTTAAACTCTTTTTCTCTGATCAGCCCTCCACAGGATCACAGGTAAAATCATATTTGAAACGACAGATTTCTAGCATACTTACTACAAGCTTACTACCTATTAGAATACAGAATGCTTACTAAACAGACATTCATGCACCCACTTACTGAGATTGAATGGCCCCAGAACATGTACCACTGAAGATGAGAGGAAGAGATCTTTGTAGCGTGGCTTTGGAGTGGGGCTAGAGGTACCACTAAGTCAGTGAAATTGTCTTGACATCCCTTTCTGCCTTTTCTGTGCTCTCCTTTTCTTCTTATCCTCCTTCATCAGTTTCTTCCCAAAAGCATCTCAATCTAGTAGCTACAGTGATCATCTAAATTCTCCTGGGACTGAAGAATGTTTTCTGATTATGTATGCTAAAGTATCAGTGACTCTGGTATGATCCTTCCTAAGGATATTCACATTGATACGGAAAGAAAAGAATCAAGGGGAGAAAGCAATACTTTACTGAACCGAGTGTATTTCTAATAGTTGTATTTTTAACATCATGGTGCCTGTTGGGAAAGATACTTTTATATGTGTGAGGAGAGAGCTGTTAACTGTCCTTCAAATCACACTAAATCCTCTTAACTCCCCTTCTTCCCCTCCCTTTCTGTGTCCACCTTCCCTAGCTGCTAAAGGCACTTACTCAAGAGTGAGTCCACAGGGAGACTGTGCTGCAAGATCCAGCTCTCCGCACCCCAAGCATGCAGCTTCCAACTCCACAAATGCTGGAATAGCAAATGCTAGCCAAGACCGCTCAGCCAGCTGGTGTGAGGTCAGGGCTCTGCTTTGCTTTGTCCACCCACACCTTCTCTCTGCAGAGAGACAGAAAGAGTCTGGGAGAACTAATGACAGGATGAATCAGAGGTCATCACTGGGCAGATAAAGCTCAAGAGAGAAACTAGGGTAAGGGGCTGGGAGCAGAGGGCTGCAGAGTGAGAGCATGCTAGAGAAAAGGTGAGGAGAGTCAGAGCTGGTCTTGGGCCAGACCCTGCAGTGAAATTTATTTGGGGTACCCTTCTCATTAAGCTTTACTGTTCACCCAAACTGGCAATTCCTTCTTAGTGTCACCACTTAGCTGCCCCGCCCTGGGCCACACCTTTCTTATCCTCTGCCTTCCAAAAATTCCTGCTCTTGATAGCTTTCTACTCTCTCTTTTTACTTTCTCTTTCTCAGGTCCTGCCATCCTTTTTTCTGTGAAAAAGTAATCCGTAGAAAAGCTTTCATGAGTAATAACAAATTAATTCATTGACTTTCTAAAAGGAGATAAAGGTAGAATTTCAAAGGAAGATCCCTTAACTCTCCACCAGTGCGTGCCTAACATAAGCCCTGACCCTAAGCCAATTTTGCTTTGAGTATCCCTCTGTCTTCCTCTTCAGGATCATTTTAGGGATTAAAACAATTTAATGCTAGAGGAACTATAAATTGCTTTTGTGTATGTTTATATGGCATTTGCAAATGCCTACAGACACTGAATTTTAAATTTACAAATAACATTTGGCCTAAATATATTATTAGTAACCTTAAGCTGATATATATATATATATATATATATATATATATATATATATATTTACATATATATCAGCTTAAATATATGTTTTTATAGCTATATATATTTTAAACATATATTTAAGCTGATATATATGTAAATATATATAAGTATACATATTTAAGCTGATATATTAGTAACCTTAAGCTGATACATATATATATATATATATAACATATATCTAAGCTGATATAAATGTAAATATATATAAGTATACACATTTAAGCTGATATATATGTGGTGTATATAATATATAATATATTAATTCACATTTTGGGGGGTTCTGGATCCTGATCCAGGGTCTCTTAAGTATGCAGGTATGTAGGTTAGTTTGGAACAGGAGTAGGGAAATATGCAAGAAGAAAGACTCAGTGGATTGGCTGTGTTTTACTAAAAAGGTCTCCTGACCCAAGTTTGAGGGAATCAATTGTATCATTTGCTGTTACATAACAGAGATGGATTTCTGGACAAGCTCCATAATAAATATTTCTTTTCTCTTAGTTATCATTGTTCTCATGGTGGTAACTACCATAATTGTGGGGGGTTTTCCCATGAAGAAGAGAACCTAGTAATTGAGAAGACATTGACTGAAAATCTGTTTTTCTCTTCCAAAAATGAGAAGAGCTTTCATGTGGGTTAAAATTAACCATGAATCTTGTCCTATACAAAATATTCACAATCGTACCCATTGAGGGGGATGTTGTAAACTCTTTTTAGATTTGTTTGGGCCAGGAGTGGACCCAAAAGTTATTTCAAGGAGAAGAAAAAGCTAGACAATAACTTATTGAGCTTGTTTTATAGTAATTATTGTAAGAGTTATATAAATCTGCATGAATATAAACATATAAACTCTCAAAAAATTATAGAATCAGTAGGCGGCTAAGAAGGGCCTTACATAACTTCTAACCCTTTCTACTGTATTCTATCGTGAGGAATGGTTTGTGGGCCATTTTTCCTCAGCCTCTGGGCTGACCCACACCAGGCCTCCTGGTTGACAGCACAGCCAGATAACTAGTTCCACACAGAGCAGCGGGAAGCAAGGGGGATGTTAGCAAGTTAGTATGCTTAGCATAATTGGAAAATATCACTAGAATAAAAGCAACCTTTGTTGATTTTTCCACATGACCTACAATTTCTGATTGTTATTCTTCCTCTTCTCCCATTTCAGCCTACAGAACTGTCCTCTTGCTGTGACATCCAGTCAACATTGACCTTCATTCTACGCCTGCTGCCCTGATGACGGCACATTAATGAAGCACAAAGAGGAGTTATTATTGTCCATTTATTTTCCAGCCCCAAAGACAGTAATAGAACCAGCCCGCCCTTCTCTGAGGAGGAGAAAACAAAAGCTTATTAAATGTCAAAAATATTTTGAGTACTTCCTGGACACCTTCAGGAGTCGAACCACCTGCAAAGGGTCACCAGGCCTGCCTCCATTGAAAGCTTTCTATTGGGAAGGGGCTCTGTCACCCATTTGTGGAACTCCTTGAGTTCTGTTATATGGCTTCTTCATCAAAAACATGCCTTATGATTTCTCATTAGCACAGCTTCTCTTTCTAAAGCTATTTCCTTTGATGTAGCCACCCCTACTATCTACATCTCATTTCAATTTTACAGCCTCTATTCTCTGTCCTTGTTTGCATAGCAGCAAAGGAAATCTTAGTTGCTTTGTATTTATAGTCAGTGTCTAGACTGTTGGATTAATTCATGTATCAATTCTGAAATTCATTCAATAAATATGAATTAAAAGAACACTTGTGATATGCACTGTTATAAGGATACAACAATTGAATAAGACACTTTGGAAATAGGTAATGGTGATGAAGGCACAATCTTGTGAATTTAATTAATGCCACTGAATTGTATATTTTAAAGTGGGTACTATGGAGAACAAGATGAAGTTTCTTCAAAAAACTACAACTGGAATGGCCATTTTATTCAACAATCTCACTACTTGGAATTTATCCAAAGAAAAGCAAATTATTATATCAAAGGAACATCTCCACTCTCATGTTTATTGAAGCACTATTCACAATAGCCAAGATACGGAACAAGCCTAGTTGTCCAACAACAGATGAATGGATGAAGAAAATGTGGTATATACACACAGTGGAATACCATTCTTCCACAAAAAGGAATAAAATCCTGTCATTCGTGGCAGCGTGGATATAACTGGAGGACATTATGTTAAGTGAAATAAGGCAGGAATAGAAAGTTAAACTCAGCATGTTCTTTCATTCGTGAAAGCTAAAATAAGTTAATCATGGAAATGAAAACTAGAACGCAGGATACTAGCCTCTGGGAAGGGTAGGCGGAAGAGGGAGTTAGGGAGAGATGTGTTAAAAGATACAAAGTTACAGCTACATGGGAGGAATAGGTTCAAGTGTCCTATAGCACTCTAGGATGACTATAGTTAACAACAATATATTATGTACTTTCAAATAGCAAAAAGGAAGATATTGAATGCTCCCAACACAGAGAAATGACAAATGTTTGAGATGATGGGCATGCTAATTACCCTGATCTTATCACTATATTATGCACATCAAAACATCACTATATGCCACATGAATATGTTCAACTATTATTTTTTCAATTAAAAAATGAAAAAGTTTATGTTCCATACATTTTACTGCAATAAGAAAAATGCTTAAAAAAAAAAACAAAAAGCAACAAATCAGGCAGTCGTGGTCTTCACATACAGTGCCCCTAGTCTAGTAAGAAAGACAGACCCATGCAATAAAGTATTGTTGGTGAGAATATAGAAAGATGTAAAGGACACAGTGAATGCAAAGGAGAAGTTGTAAACTAAATTCACCTTTTTATTTGTCTTTGTTTTGTTTTTTTGGTTAGTGGCATTGGTTAGATACAGTCTCTAGAAGTGAGGATTCAAAGATGAGCAATTCTCAAGAAACTAGCAGCCCAGGCTCCCTCAAACACTGGGTGCTGTGATGCAGGCAGTAACATTTGAATGACAGTAGAAACCTTGGGTAGTTTAGTCTTTAGTCCTAAATCCAGTACTTCTACCTTCATTAATTTGTCCTACCTAGGACAGAGACTAGGGTGAGTCAAAAGAGGCACCTAGGCCGGACACAGTGGCATGCACCTGTAGTTCCAGCTACTCAGGAGGTTGAGGTGGGAGGATCACTTGAGCTCAGGAGTTTGAGGCCAACCTGGGCAATACAGTGAGACCCCATTTCACAAATAAATAAATAAGTAAAATTTATTTAAAGAGAGACAGAGAGAGTGATCTAGGGTGCAAGATGTAAGGAGTCATTCCCTTTCAGGGACAGGCTAACTTGCATGACCTTGAAAGTGAGCACCCCCTTAAATGTCCTTATGTTCAACATGACCCATAGTATCCTTTCTATAGCTGCTTATTTTCTTGCCTGCCTCCCTATATGAACTATAAATTGTGCCATGTGCATTTTTGCATCTACTGGGGATAGAACAAAGTTTGCACATAGAAAACTCGCAAGGAATATTAGTTTGCTTTGGAACATATTTTTTAAATAAATAAATGCATGGCCACAATCCAGCATTGGTTCCCCTAGGAACCAGGCTCTTCAGACTCTCTTATCCTTGGCTTCCATCTCTGTCTTGTCAAGCTGAAGTTTGTTCAGGATTCACATTCCCTGAAGGCTTCCAAGTAGGTAACGTGTAAGTGCCTCTGGAACTCTTCTCCTTTTTTCAGTTTTTTTTTTTCCTCCTTGTGATTGATTTTGAATAGTTGCTCTATCTTCAAGTCCACTGTCAAATCCACCATAAATCCCATGCAGATAAGTTCTCATTTTGAATATTGTATTTTTTATTTCTAGAAGCTCCATTGGTTCTTGTTTGTATCTTCTATCTATTTCCTCACTATGTTCACATTTTGCTTTACATTGTTGGGCATATAAAATATATGTATAGAAACATTTTCAATGTCTTTGTTCATTAAGTTCATTATCTGTGATTTCTGAGTATCTTTTAACTAATCGATGTTTCTCCTAGCCGTGGGTCACATTTTCTTACTTCCTATGGCTGAAAGTGGAAGTCAGTCCTCAGTATGTTTTTCATACACGTTTTCAGCCTTGTTCTATTAAATTAAACATGACTTTCTCCTGATGACAGAGCTTGACAGAACTTCCCTCTCATCTCCACCCAGTGGATCCTTTTCTCAATATCTTCCTCTCCCAGGACCAGGAGGAGGTGTTAGAAGTCACTTTATCACACTGTTGTTTCTTGGTCATTGCTCACCTGAATTTTTTTGCTTTGACACAACTGGAATATACAGTACTTCCAATACACAGTCCTTTTCTCTATGATGTATCTCTACACCTCCAGGAGTCTCTATCTTCCATTTTGGAAGTTTTTAGCATTGGGTTTAGTTTCCTTGTCCTATGTCCTATTTCCTTTTCTATTTCCTCAAACTATCTTGCCTATGACTTCAAGCAGAAAGTCAAAGCCAAGTATAAGTTCCCTCAACTCTGTTCATATCCAAATTTCATTTCTCTGTAACTTTGCTAATATTTTCTTCTCTCCTCTGTCTCCTTGGGGAACGTGACCACTCTTAGGAATAACCTTATTCTTTCCTTCTATGCACTTGAGTATATCCCCATGGATTCTCCTAAGCATTGCTCCTACAAACATGCTCCCTTCTTCTTTTTCCTTTGCTACTCACCCATGGATAATGAATCCCTCAAATAGAGGTATGCCTTGTTCTTGGTATATTAATAATAGCCATCATAAAGTGTGCCCTGATTCATGCCTTATCTTTTTTTAGGTGCTTTTCCTTTTTTCTCTCTTGTACTGGGTTTATCTTTGATTCCAGAAAGTCAACTTTGATACTTTCATTTCCAGCTGTGGTATACTAGCTTATTGGGCCAAGCTTCCCATCAAGTACTAGTAGAAAATCTGGACAAAATACATTTAAACAAAAGTCTGTTTAAAGGCTTTGAAGAACAATAAAGGACTCGATAGGCCAAGATGCTGGAAATAAAAGATCCCCGAGAGGTGGGTCCAATATCAAATGCTTCTTTTCTCTGCTGGCATCTGCCAATTCTAAAACAATAGCTGAGAGACTAAGAAGCAACTAGAGTTCAGAGCCCACCTAGAAGGAGGTGCTCTGATAAATATACTCCAGAATTTTAGATGGACTTCTGCAGGGCAGATCAGATCAGATCACTCAAAGACTGAAATCTACCTTCAAGTCACCTCAATTCAGGATTAAATTTAGGTGATCTATTTCTTGTTTACTTGCTTGGCAGAAGTAAATATGGACCCTTTCTGGGAAGTAATAGCATCATCTAAAGTCTAGCCACTTGTCACTATTCTCACTGCCACTCCCTAGTGGGTCCATATCTCCTGTCCCCTGGGTTGACGCAAGAGCCTAAAAACTGATCTCCACACTTACCATCCTGTCATCCTGACGTTCTCCTGTTCCCTTGATATAGCATCTAGTGTATTCTTTCTAAAACACACACACAAAAAGCCTTTCTCAAATACTTCCCTAAATTTAATTAGCTTTTACGAACCAACATAGAACCTAATAGAAGAGAGCCTCCATTTTTTATAAATGGTTGACAGTGGTATCCATGATCAGACTCCTGCCCATCTTTCTACCCCATCTCTTTGGTTCTCTCTTATGCAAACATAGTGAGCTTGAAAGAAAAGGCTGTCTCGAACCTCTGAATGTTCCCACTTGCTCTCCTTCTGCAGGGAACATCCTCACTTTCCCCTTTCCTTATTAACACCTACTAACTCTTCACGTATCCACCTGGAGTTGACCTTCTCATTTTTATACCAGGTTAGGGTTTCCTGCTGCGTGTCTCACAGATCTCTGTACCTCCTCACTTGTAACACTCACTTTATTGTTTTTGCTTGTTTATTCATTTTTCTTTTTAAAATCCACTGAACATCACGGTTTTCACTCTTTATTTTATTAATATCTGTCTTTCCTACCAGATACAGCTTCTGTGGTGGCAAGAGGACTAGCTACATAATTTGCAGTATCCAATATGAGACAAAAATGTGGGGCCACATGCTCTAAAATGATTAGGAATTGCAAGAAAGTGAGAACAGGTATTAAGCCAACCATATTCCACCTATTTCAAGCAGAGGTTCCTGTGTGAATGTACAATTTTTTTTTTTTTTTGAGACGGACTGTTGCTCTGTTGCCCAAGCTGGAGTGTGGTGGCACAATCTCGGCTCACTGCAACCTACACCTCCTAGATTCAAGCGATTTTTTGTGCCATGTAGCTGGGTTACAGGCTCATGCCACCACTCTCAGATAGTTTTGTTTTTTGTTTGTTTGTTTTTTGTATTTTTAGTAGAGATGGGACTTCCCCATGTTGGCCAGGCTGGTCTTGAACTCCTGACCTTGTGATCCACCCGCCTCAGCCTCCCAAAGTGCTGGGATTACAGGCATGAGCCACCACACCCAGCTGAATGCACATTTTATACCCATGAAACTGACCTGTGGTGCAAGCAGAAATGACAAGGAGGTGGTAGGTGCAGATTTTAAGAAAAGG